AGGGGGGGGGTGTGTATGAAAAGTATAGGATATAGGTTATTGCCAGGAGAGCTCAAGGATGCTATACAAAGGATTTTTGGATAAAAAAATCCATGATAGTCAAATTTAGGATATATACGGGGATGGCTTTTATTTTGTCGTAGATCTTTGTTAAAACATTTTTAGTAGAATTCTATGTATTTAAAATAATAAAATTTCCAAAATGTGGCCTGCTATTTTTACACCGTTCAGATAGAGAAAGGGGTACGATATCTCTAGATGAATGAGAGATGAGAGAGAGATGAAAAGGGGGAAGATGTGAGGGGGGAGATGAAGGGGGTATAGAGATAGATAAGTTACGGGGAATTTTAATTTTAATTCTCCAGATTATACATTCCACTGCATACTCAGCACTTAAATCCTGTAGTTGTCATGAACAGCAGATCTTAAACTAAAGACATTACTCAGCAATGAAATCAGGTTGTAAGCTAGTTTAGTACAGTACTGGGGCAGCTCGCCTTTTGGCTTTCCGAAGTTTTACATGGTTCATCAACTTTTGGACCAGAGAAAACAGTCTAATAACAAATGAAAAACTGAGCGTAAGACAAATTTTTACATATAATGATTAATTATATTTTTTTTATTAAAAATAAATTTTCTGCAGGTGCTGTCCTAGTTTTCTGCCCAAGTTAACTTTTATTGTTTTATTAATAAAAATCTATACAGACAAGGGCTTAACCTTTTTTAAATTTTAGGGGGTGGGGCTTAGTTTGGGACCATCCCCCATGTCAAAAAAGCTTATTTTTACAATCGCAAACATTCGTCGACTCTGGAAAGGAGGGGTAGGCGGAAAGGAAACTGGGAGAAAAAGCTGGAATTGAGAGAGGAAAGAAAAAGGGCATGGATCGAGGGGAATGCAAATGTGCAGTTGGGGGAGGGTCAAGAGGGGGGGGTGAGAGGGAGAGGGAGAGAAGGGGGAGAGAAAGTAATTAAAAGAACGAGCCAGACCACACATATATAAAATAAGGAGTGAAGGGAGGAGAGGTTGGTTAGAACTGAAGATGTTAGTATGAGTAGTCCAGACGAATCCTTATCGTCCTTCGGTACAATTACTGGTCCGGACTGTGTCATATCTCTCATGCTTTCATCTCCGTTCTTATCGTCCAGATAGATCCTATCTCCTTTATAGTTTGAGTCTGCTTGTTCTTCTCCTCTATTCCACCAGTACTCCTCTCCTATACTCCGTCCTGAACCTGGAGTAGTTTCTGAACCAGGATTACTTTCATAGAAATAATCCATTTTTGGGGTCTTTACTGTTATAGTGTTCAGTTCTGAGAACGTAGATTCTGTTGTTGTTGTAGACACAGTTGTTGTTGACGTTGTACTTGTTGTTGTTGTTAATGTTGTTGTTGATCTATCTGTTGATGATGTGGAATCATACCGATCTCTCTGGGTTGAATTTAGAAGAAAACGTGGGAGAAAAACGGATAAATCCACGCAGGCGAAAGTCGTTTTCATGAATACATGAAGATCGTGACACTCTGGAACCCCCAGAATATGTGGATCTGCTAGGAGACTGCAATCCTTTTGTCCATGACAAGCAGATACAATCTGAGATGTTACGGATGTTTTCTCACACTTTAGAAGGTCTTGAGTAGGTGGTGTGGAATACTGATATCCAGGTACTCCATCCTGTTTATATCCAGGTACTCCAGGTACTCCAGGTACTCCAGGTACTCCAGGTACCCCGTCTTGCTGGTAGTTTTGTAAAGGACAATAAACATGTCCTGCAGAGGCAGAGGCAAAGGCTGCAGACATTATAGCTAGCCTCTGAGTGCTCTTGGAGCAGGATAGATTTAGAGCATCTCCTCCACATTCCACCCTAGACCGGAAACTTGCAGGTTTGCATTTATAAAGGATTTCAAGATGTCGCCTAAACAACTTGGAATTAGTATTTTGAAAATTTCAGTAAATATCATCAAAGGTTAAGAATTGATTTAAATTTAAATCTGTAATGAATGATTTAAACATTTAAATTTAATTCAATGAGCAAGGTACTCAGAGAAGATACAAAATTATAGATTTTGCAGTAAACTATGTTTTTTCAAAATATATTAGAAACAGAATAAATAAGCATTTAACTTAAGAATTAACACGTTAATATATTCATGTAATAATATTCAACTCGTATCTTAAAAGTGCCATTTAACAGTTAACTCGCCATACAATAAAAATATACATAAGAAGATAAACTGCCAACTCTATAATTAGTTTATCCTCTATTAGCCTGCGTTTCCCTGTAAGATCTAGGATTACAAGGTTGGATCTAAACAAATCTAAAACTGTTTATACGTGCTCTCACCAACCAAGAGGGAAAGCAGGATAACATGTAAATAAAGCTTTCCTGAAAACATGGGGAATAATTTCTATTTCCCATCATCGCCCCAATACTTTAATTTAGTTTTTTTCAATTTTGTCTTGTCTATCTTTTATTCTATGCACTTAGCGTCAAAACTGCTAAACCTATCGGGCCAAAAATATTTTGTGTTAATTACTGATTAAAACTCACATAACCCCAGTAAAAATTTCAAACAATTGCTTCCAAAACATTTTTATTTTTTAAAATTTAAAAGACAGGTCATCAATTAAAAGCTGGCATTTTTTATTTGAAGATGTACGTGAATCGCCCTCTAAGCCAAATATGCTTAAACTCTACATTTAAACCCTTTTCTGCTCTCCTACAAAACCACAGACTACACAGACTGCTTATCTCCTTTCACAGGGTGGGCTACGTAGGCCTAAGTTGACCCGGTACGACATGCTACGTTTTTACAATAGGTTTTTAGAGTGCCATCTCACGGCCACTTGTTGAACATAATACCCATTCAGGGGGTAAGTTTTACTTTTTTTAAAGAAATACTCCAATTTTAAACATGGAACATAACATTTAATAATTCAGTCTTTTTTGAAGATTTTTTGTTTCGTAACCAAAGGATCCTTAAATATCCTTGAATACAGAAGTTTGCTGATTGGTCGTGTTCAGTACTTGTACACAATAGAACATGCTGTGGAAAATATCGCATATTTTAGCTGATAATCGATCTCCTTAACTATCTTATCTCTGTGCAAAACTATACGCGTTGTCAAATAATAGAAAAGGTTCAAATATCCTTCATGAGAAGGCTTCTATATCGTTCTAAGAAAATTCGGTCAAAACTGCGCAAAAATAAGATAATAAAATACTTCAGATGAATTTGAGATAAATACAAAATTCCATATTTGTTATTATTAAATCTATTTCCGTTTAATGTTATTATACATTGAACGTGAAAGCGCATTTATAAAACTAAATATTTACAGTTATACTTGCAATGAAATGTAGACCGACAAGGATATCTAAGGAAATTAATTTCAAGCATCCGGTTCTTCTCCGCTCCTTGCAAAATATTTGAAAATTTAAAGGAAGTGTTCGTGAAAAATGAAAGCGGGTAAAGGCTTACGTCGAAAGAAATTCGATGATGATTGCTACAAATCTTACTTCGGTTGCGTCCATAAGGAGAAAATTGTTACGCATTACAAATTATGAAAAAATAACAAGAAATAATCCTTTTTAAAAACTTAAAATTTTTTAAACACATTTTCTAAGTTTTTCCTTTTTTAAATGTTTAAATCCACTAAAAATAATTTAAACTATGTCCAAGCCTCCACAAAAAATGTGCTAAAAGTAAGAACTGGAGTAACCGTCCTATCAGATCTTGTTGAGAACCTGGGCTATTAACCAGACTTGGAGAAATGTTTCGGAAATGTTTAAAACTTTTAATTAATTGAGATTCTTGAGAATCCTAAATCCTGATTACGGATATTTAGAAAAGTATAGAGCTCTCCTTTAACAAGATATCTCTTCAAACGACGTAATCTTAATGAAAACTCTTCTTTCCTTTCAAATACAACAACATTGAAGCCACAAAAAAGTTAACATTTAAATATTTGAAATACTTTGAAATCTCGCGTCTTCTAGTTGATGGGAGGGGGGCATTGTTCTATATCAAAGTTTGAGCCAGTGGTGTGACAGGAATTTGACCAGGGGAGGGGGCGAGGGTTGATTGCTTTTTTTGTTGCTTTATGGGGTATAAACATTGATCATTGCTCAGAGAAACCCCCCCCTTGGCCCCACCCCACTTATATTTGCCCCTGGGTGGAACCTCATTACTACCTGACTCTAGGACACCTATCTCCTCTTGATCCCCCTAGAAGAGCGAACCCAGTCTGTACAGAACAGGTTTCCTGGCCCTGGCACAGATCTTCTATCTGGCGTACACTGTCCCTCACCCGGCAGTCCTGTCCAGGTACAGGAGGGTCGGGCCGGTACAAATCCCCTGGGCAGATGGACAGGTTCGAGGATCTGTCGTACTGTACAAACTGTATGGAAATCTGAAATAAAGAAAAAAATGAATTTTTAGTTTATCAGTCTTTATAGAAACAGTGTATATTCTCAGTCAAAATACCTTTTAAGTTTTAAGAATCTCCGATTATGCTTTTATCAAGCATCGAAATAAGCAAGCATTACTTTAAAATCCCTGCTATACTCCAAGTCTTAGGGATTTAAAACCTTTATCTGATAAATAATGTAGAAGACATAATGCCTTAATCTCCGAAGTCCTGTTAGTAACTTAGTGTGTTGCTATTGTGCTAAAAAGTCAGCATAGTATTATAACTTGGCTTCTTTTGCCAAGCACAACATGAATATATCCTTTAATGTTTTTATGTAGCTTATCCCAAGGTTACAGTGGGGGGGGGGGGGTGCAACAATTTTTAAAGAATAAACTCATTGAAAAAATGTTCACCCAAAATGTTTGTGGTCTGAAATATCAATACAATGAGTTTAATTGAAAACGTGTAAGGAAAAAAAATAAAGCTCTCAAATCAACCTTTTAAAATCGAATTAGGTTTATTTCTCATGTTTCTCAACAAAATATCACGTTTATCTTGGATAGTACATTTCATAATTTAGAAAATACATTTTAGAAACGTACATTACTCCCTACTCCTAGTCCTACTCACGAGTACAGGGTTTTAATATAATCCCCAGGGAGGGTCTGGACAGACAACTGTATATCTAATACTTAGGATTGAGTTGTTAGAGAGATTTTAATTAAGAACAATATTTTCAAAATAAAAAGCTTATTGAAAATCTAATAGAAATTTGAAATGAACTAATTCATGAACTCTGTACTTACTTCTCTCTTTATTCTTTCTTACTTTCCACTTCTGTTCTTCTATACTCACTATTCCCATTTACGCTGAACTTACTCCCCCCCTCCCCCACCTATTACTCTGTTTTTACTTTACTCCCTTTAATCTTTCTTACTTCTTTCCCTCCCTCTTTACTTCTGTACTCACTAATCCCCTTTACTCTGTACTTTTCCCTAGTACTCTGTATTTACTTCCCCTTTTTATTCTGTACTTACTATCCATATTTACACTGTATTTGCACTGTATTTACACTGTACTTACTATCCTTATTTACAATATCTACAATATCATTTACTTGGCAATCTAAGCTAGAGGTTAATTTTACCATTTCTTTTTTAATATTGGTTTCACGACTAAAAATCCTCCAAAAACGTTTAAAACTCTTTCTTAAAAGTGTTTCTTAAAACTATCCTAGCTCCGGGTATATCTGGAGAACACATTTTGAAGATTAACATGTTTGCTTTGTAAATAATATTTAAGCACCCTCATGAGAGAAATAATTACTTCAATCCCACAGGGATGGCTATAGAAGGATTTGCACAGACCTTACAATACTTACAATTACAATATTTGGTTTTCCGAATTATCGAGTAAATCAATTCTAGGTGTATGTATTTTTAACTTTAGGAATTATCAAGAAATTTTATAAAAAACTACCTTGGTTACTTATTGTTTAATCTTATTATATATTTCTAACTAACAATCGAGAAGTTTTTGCCAAACTACCTGCTTAGTATTTAGCGAGTATAGTTCCTGACAAATTACCTCCTTATTGAGTAGTTTTTTACTTATTTGTTTTCTCTTAAAATCTTATACTAGTTTGGCAAAAAAAAGTGTTGCTTGTTTAATGTGTTTACTTGTTTGTCTTACACTTTTTTGTTCGTTTTACACATGTTTACATGTTTGGTTTATAAATACGTTTCCTTGTTTGGTTTGAATATGTTTACATGTTTGGTTTATAAATACGTTTCCTTGTTTGGCTTTATGCATGTGTTTACTTGTTTGCTTTTCAGGGTGCTGACTTGTTTGTTTGTGTGATGTTTAATATATTTGTTCAATGTTTGATGAATGTTTGTTTATGTTTGCAAGTGTACAAGACCTACCCTGAAGTATTGTATTAATATCTCTCCTCTGTAAATTCAGTCAGGTGTTGAAGTAATAATATATCAGGAGCCGGGAGGGGG